CGTTCCACCTTGTGGGTGGCCTCCACTCCAGAACCTTGCCGTCTCATCGGCCGTCAGTTCTGCGTTCTATGTACCCTGCCCATTGCCACTAACTTCAGCCACATTTAAATTTAATGCATTTAAATCCATATTTTCTTCATCATCATCATTTTAACCTATGGTTGATTACATTGCTGGACGTTCACTCTAACGGTGGTGCCTTAGCACTACTTCTTCTTGAAATCTTCGGACCATAATTATACGCTTGCCAAGAAAGGCGTGGTCTCTTCTAGTAAAATCTTCCTCCTAAGACCAGTAAGACTGAATCATGTTAAAAATCATAATATATTTAGTTTTTCTCATGTAAGACTGAATCATGAGAAAAACTAAATATATTATGATTTTTAACCTACCAAACATGCGTCTTAACATACGCGCAGCCTAAAATGCAAGACATTACAACGGCGCAGGCGCACTGCAGTTGGCAAACGCGCGCGCGCACTTCCAATTAATGTTTCATCTTCGCACAGTAATCATCTGTACAGGTGTTGCTCAATTAATACAGTAGATAAAACAAACATTTATATTTTAGAAGGAGCTAGTGGATTTACAATGTAATTTCTCCTATCAGCCTTGAACATGGTTTATTTATTTGACCATTCATTCAATTGACGGGATGTCAATGCCTATCAGTGGTTAGACGAGATAACTCGTATGGTTGTGCATGTGATGTTATGGTTTGCAGTGATATCCTATTATTGATATTATCAAGTCCATGGAATTCTGCATTCGTGGAAATAAGTTTTATATCAGTCAGTAACAGGAAACTACAAATAATAAAATTAGCGGAAAAAGCGACGTATCACAAAAAAATAGTCACGTGGGGGAAAAAAAGAAAAATATTTACCTACCATTTACATTAAATCAATATTTACTAGTAAATTATAGGAACCGCTTAATAACTCGTAAATTAACTTTCAAAATGTGAGCTGTAATTACCTAATTTCGATAATTAGGCGACATTAGAGTACATGAGTAAAGCTAATCTTTCGACAGACATTTTTTGTTTGTTTTTCCTCGACATTCAATTTATGTTAGCATTCAAATACAAATGGTAAGACTTCAGGTCTATTTTATATTTCTTTCTGACTAAATCCCTTTCAAATTCTAAGAAAAACAAAAATGTAACTACCAACCTAGAGGAAAAATGAATACAAAATTTTAGCAAACATAAATATTAATTGCCACTCAGACCTTTTCAATATGCTATTGGGATTTTCGTTTCTTGGAAGACAGACAAAAGGTAATTAAACTATTCATTAACAATTTATTTTATAAACATTTTGAAGATCAAAATATGAAAAATTATAAGAAGCCGAAGCTGCTTCGTTCTTTTAGAATATTATTAGTTTGAATATCAGGAAATAACTATAATAAGAGAAATATACTAGCTTCTACCCGCGGTTTCATGTGTAAAAGGTCGATGTGTCACGAAGAGTTAATTACTCTGCGCTGTATCGTCGTTTCAGCCAAATGACGTCCACTACTGGACAAAGGCCTCCCCCAAGGTTTTCCACAATGAACGGTCCTGCGTGCCCGCATCCAGGCTCTTCCCGCGACTTTTACCAGATCATCGGTCCACCTAGTAGGAGGCCTGCCCTGCCCACGCTACGTTTTCCAACCCACGGTCGCGACTCGAGAACTTTCCTGCCCCAACGGCTATCGTCTCTACGAGCTATGTGCCCCGCCCACTGCCACTTGATTTTAGCAATTCTGAGAGCTATGTCTGTATGTAGTATAGCTAATTAAAACCGCTTAATTTCATACAAGAAACAAAAAATTTTGGGATAGTGTTTAACATTCGTATGGATTTTCACTTATGCGTTCCGCAGATGAAATGCGTATCTGAAATGCCTTTATCGAATTCTTGGCATTAACAATGCCAAGAACACTTTGAATTTACCAAATAAGCTACTTTTTTCTAGAATGTATCTAGAAGTTATTATAGAGCAGCAATATTATCCACGAGCTAAATTTTTGATAATATGTAAAAATCAAATTTTATTGCCTAAGGTAGGAATCGCAGCCACGACTCTCCGCTTGCCGGGCTCTTAAGCTTGATTTTAAAAAGGCTGTCTCTATTAAAAATGAGTTAAGTTCAAATTACAATGCTAACAAGTCAAATAAAGAATTTTGTCTAATCAGTTTCGAACCCCGCTTCCTACAAAGATCAATCGAGAAGTAAAACATTGCCATTTAAAAACATAACCTTTGGATTGCCGAGTTAATTATGACGAAATCACGCCGTTGCCAGCCCTGCAATGTCATTGCCAAGGTATTGTTCGGCGGAAGACAAGGGGTGCCAATCTCGATTGTAGCCCGTTTCTAACTATTGTTAGCTGTCATACTGTGTCGATAGCTAAGGGTAACACCACGCTATAGCGTTTGTTGTACTTATGCTTCCGTGTTGCGGATCCAATGAAAGCTTAACTTTCCCTGGGACAAACTTGACCTTCTTGACGTTTTTGGGTTAAGCTAAAGTAAGATGGTGCAACCCAGTCTAAAAGTGCCAGTTCCACACTAAAAGTAGTGTGGGCCAGCTTAATTGTAAGTACAGAACAGAGTTTTGTTGAACGCTAACCAAAAGTAAAGATATTAGTCGTTTATTTTCTGCTTCATTTCTGTTCATTCACCAAAATTATTAGGACCCTAAAAGCTTTGTAGTGTATTCTTACCCTAAAATTAGATAGGTAAGTAGGTCCATCGTGACACGCCAACTTCGATTTTTATGAAGGCCGAGAATTTTAATTAGATCAAGACATTACTCGTAATTTTTGGCATGCGAAAATAGAGTGTTTATTTCAATGCTTTAATTTCACTTGCCAATTTTCAAGAGACGATTGTAAATATTTTTATGTCCACCAACAAGATATCATTTGTTTTGATCATAGCATCATTTATTTCAACATGAAAAAGTACCAACTTGCTCTAAAAATTGAAATTTTAAAATGTTTCCTCCATAAAATTGAAACTTTTATCTGAGTACTTGAATGGATTCTAGAAAAATAAGAAGATATGAGTTCACTTTATTATAAATATAAGCCTTATTTGCAATATCAACTTTATGGGAGTTACTGAAAGTCAAAAGCTCCTTGTAGCTAAAAGAGCCTATTTGTAAACCTCCCTTCTTGGCAGCTTAATGTTCTCTGATGATTTGTGTCTCTCAACACACATTACTCTAGCGGGTACTTGCATACATTTTACGCGCGTATAAATCAAGCTTAGTTACAGATAACTCTGCACCGTGACAAACGTCTAAATTAACGTGATGTAAATTGGAACTACAAGATTGATAACGCAAAATCGTCGGGCCTTCAAAGGTTTGTTTGCAAGTGGCGCCCCCATTCGTGTTCATTCGTAGCCTTGTTGCACTGTAAGGTCTGCAGCCGATTGTCGCGCATCTACCGAAATAGTCGCCAATGGATGACAATAGATTTCGTCAAACAGCTGTATGGGATTGATTCACGACGCGACCAGTCGCTCGATCTGTCGCCAGCGCATGCCCTGTTGCTTGAATTTGTTACACAATGTGTAACTTTGTTTATAGTTGAACCAAAGGTACCAAAATAAAGTGAGATTATGACCAAATGTTAAAGTATTGTTATTTAACATTAAGAACTTAAAAGGGGCTGTCGGATGTTTCAAGTGAAGTAACACGAACCTCTAAATTACCTAAAACATTTATTTTAGTCTTATTAAAACTATTTGCCAGCATTTAAGTATAATTACAAGTAATAGAGTTTAAAACTAATATCTACGCAAGACTCATAGGCACTTGTTTGAAGTAGGTACCTGTAGAGCGGCGACTAAGTCGTTCCCTACAAAAAAATCTAATAAATAAACCAGTTCACTCATTTCCATGAATACAAAATTCACTATGGTTATAGTTAATGACGAAATCTTTTTGCAACACAATCATTTTATCTTAGAATACATTATTTAAAATAACTACATTACCTACCTGAAATTCCTACAATATCTATGTGTAACTTTTTTCATATATTTCACTGGCAACCCCAGCCCAGTCTGCCCTGTTATAAATTACCGGTGCGAGCGTATGTCATAACGTTGTAGTATAGCTAATGAGCCGTTGCCGACGCGGCGTCTCGTGAAGTATGATGCCGGCATCCTCTGTCTCAATGTGCCGTCTGTCTATGGAAACGAGAAATTTGACTCCAAATGTCTGAAGGAACAGCAGATCTGACTGAAATTTTGTTGCAAATTCGCTTTTAATACTACTACATAAAATGCAACATTGTTTAACTAGATGTGCTCTCGTCTGTTATATAAAATTTTAAAAATAATATCTAGCAAGTGTGTACTTATACAATTTTTTATTAGTGCCTACAAGATGAATGCACTCATCAAACATGCTAAAAAGGCTTTATATAGGATTGGTGAAAATTAGGAAAATGGTATTTATTTTAATTGTTCTAATGTAGGCTTAAAAATACGGGACGATCGTGTCCTAGGTATTAGCAGAACTTACATCATTGTAATGATAGCTAATAAGGCTAATAGCTAATCCCTTAATTAAATTAAATTGTACATAACTCTACCTACGCGATATCATACTGTTGGTTATTATCTTGATACCAAACTAAACTACAAAACTAATCAAAGTTATAGCGACTACTTAAAAATATAAGCCTAATAACTACTTTTTTTTTTAAATAAGAATGAATTAACACAATAGGTATTTAAATAGAATAATTTTAATATTAACATAAAAAATTTACAAGTGGTATAGCTTTAGTTCTATTGACAATGTAACATTCGATTTTGATTTAAAATCGTAACTTAATCCACATTGCCAAATTGCATAAAAAGTAATGTAATCTTGCTACAGTGAATTTACTTTGTCTAGCTAACTAAAGGAACACATAGACTCTATGTATTATGTTATTAATAATACTAATACATATACTTATTATTAAAGCAAATTAACCACGATCATCAATTTACTTCAAATTTTCGTAAACAACATTTGTGGTGATTTCAGCTGAGGTAAGATCATTCGCCCAACTAAATGTTGATATATCAGAACTAATAGATATAAGAGACGAGTTATTTTCAAAGTGGTGCCTTATCCGCCATTCAGCAAGCTGCGCCTCTGTCGGCTGCATCGCGGAAATGTATGTGGGCGTGCTGCTTTTATCACTCCGAACAGAATTCGACCTTACAAAATGATTGACATAAAGCTTACTGTCATCTGGCACAGTGAATATTTTACCATTTTTCGAAAATATATCATCCTCCATGAAACTATCAGTGTTACGCAAAGGAATTTTCGGCGGTAACACCAACGCATCCACATTCCTGTGTCTCACGAAGACTAACCTCTTACTGCCTTTCAACAAATTCGGATTCTTTCTTATTATCATATAAACACACATCGCGCCTAAACCCAAACTTATTAAACCCACACCAATGCTAATGTACAAAATAGAAGGGCTCTGAAAGTATCTGTAAACAACATTTTGTGATCCTTCCAACGCCGATAAATTGTAAGTCACACAACTATGCATTGGAATCGCAACTGATGTCAAATCGATAGGACAAAACGTATATTCAGTAGTTGGGAGAATATTATATCTATAGACCCGTAAGAAAGTAGGTATTGTTCTAAGGCAGTATACTTCGTTTGGACAAGAGGACTGATACCACAAAAGTCCATACCCATTAGGAGCTGCTGACGAACCAACTTGCATCACTGAAACATCACTGTTCCTGAGTAAGAATGTAGGTTTCAACCAGTCAGATTCAGATACATCCTTCAATGATCGCGATGGTCGCGATTCCTTGAAATTATTAATAAAACTAATGTTTGGACAGTCAAAATATGCAATTGGTGAAACCACTCTGAGGGATGTATTATTTGATGGCTCCTCACCGAAACTACATGATTGGTCTATAGAAGTTACAACAGAATCCTTTGAAAGCATTGTTAAGCTCTCAATTTCTTTATCCTGGGAAAATGTGCTGCAGTAATTTTGAAGTTCTGTAAAAGATTTACCGAACATTTCTGTAGGACGATGACAAGTTGGATCTATAGGAATTAACCCATTTTTTGACATTTTAATGAGGTCTTCCTGCAAACAGTCGCATTGCCATGAATTACCATGAAGGAGAATCGTTGGATGAGAATCGACTGTCAAAATAGATTTAAATAAACTTGGTGGGACTGTTATAAGAAAGTTGTCGTTTAAAAAAAGTGATTTAATGGATACTAAGGAATCGAAAGCTCCCAAACCTATGGCGGTGATGTGGCATGAATTTAAAAATAGAAATTCGCACGACTTGAGTCCCATAAATGTGTGGGCTCTTATAAACCTTCCAAAATAGTTTGAAGAAAGATCGACTCTGGTTAATCGATCTGCGGAAATGCTTCCAGTAATATAAGCTGGGTTCCATTTACCGCTATTGATCACGGTGAGAGTACGCACAGTGCGACGCAAAGCTCTTAGAGCATTTCTCTCCATAATTTCGAAAGTGCAGTTTCTCATGGAAAGTACTTTTAACTTGGATAATCCGACAAATGTATCTGACATCCACTGGGAAATAGTTACATCTTCCATGGTAAGAACTCTCAAATTGCCTGCAAAGTGCCCAAGGAATGATGTAGAGGGAATATGACGTAAGTTACCCCCTACAATCTCAAGATTGTGAATGTTCGGTGGCATTCTGCTCATCCAGCGAACAGGTAAGGTTTCATTAGGGAATATGGGATGTTGAAGGGAGAGTCTAGTGTTTGGGCACTGCATTCCAGCCTCCTGTAACAAAAGAAAAACATAAATTAATTAGAATTCTACTATCATTTCCAAAGGTAAACAGTATCAATGTTAGCTGTTTTTTTTTAAGAAAAATTAATAAAAACTATGAAGTTAATACAAATGGCTAAATAATATTATATTATTTCATGTGAAAAATTGCTTTAAGTGGTTTCGTGTGTAATTAAATTAGTGAAAATTGGTAATTTCATTAAAAGCATTTCTGTTTGCCTGTACATAATAAAAGCCTCATGGCAACGACAAGATCCAGAAATAGTAGCACAAATTAATACATTACCATTACAGCAGAAATGACGTCACTTTCTTCGTTTCGATCGAACATCACCCCCGAACATTCGATTAGGCAGTTTGTAATTTCGCATTTTGTCGACGTATAAGAGACTACAGTTGTCGGTCGTTTGACAGCCATGAGGACGATCATAGTGAAGCTCGCCACGATGATGGCTCCGAAGATAATTTGAACCACCAAGCGGAGCCAACCGTGGCTGCATGATGTATTCCTGCAAAAACCAAAATTCAAAAGGATTAATTACCTCGACTTGATTTTCGAAATAGTCCTAACGATTAGGAACCAAGTGAAAAATATTACTCATGACTAAGGTTGAGTTGCACCATCTTACTTTAACTTTAACAACGTAATAAGTAAGTCTATCAAACTCCATACAACAACACCGGCTGTGATTATTGTTACGGTTAGTAAGGGTGGTGTAACTTAGGCTTAGTCACGACTGTTATAGAGTTTAGTTAAGTAAAAGTCGTCTAGTCGCTATAAAACTCTGAAAACTCAAACATCTCAAAGGCATAAAATAAAAAGTAAAAAAACTAAAACCCTAACTAAACGTTGTCAAAGTGCTACGGTAGGTAGGTATATGTAACATGTGACTACGCCTTTCCAAACATGAAAATTACTATGCAACTACATTAGCAAGTTTGTTCAGTTCAGTATTCTGAAAATCTTGTTTTATACTTTTTCAGCGTCGTTTTTTGTCGTAGTTGGGTTTTAGTTTTTTTACTTTTTATTTATTATTTGTACTATTTTGGTGTTAAAGTGTATTTGTGGCGCATAATATTAACAAAAATTAAATTGATGAACTAATAAGTAGTAAAGAAGCTATGAACGAAAAGATGTGAATTATATGCAATCAGCCCTTGAATACAGGTAAAGTCACAAGCAAATGCTAGTAATATATATATATTCAAAATGTACAAGTAAAGCGCTTTCAAATGATACCAAACACGGCATATTTATCTTAACTTTATTTTTTAACTCTGTATGTTTTGCCCGCTAGAGGGCGCCACATTAGATTTTGTGAAACCCCATATAGCCTATAACCAGCGGACAATTAAGACGCTTCTAATGATATGTCATTTGTCGAATTCTGATAAGTAGTTTAGAAGTTACGAGGGAACACATGAACATACATACATACATACATACATACATACATACGTAGCCTGTCAAAATCATAACCCTCCTTTGGCTTTGCCGTAGTCGGGTAAAAATCAAAGGTATGCTCTGTCGTGAAAACGTAACGAAAAAAGTAATTGATTAAACTCAATACCGACAAACTGACGAATAATCCAGATTGTTCGTATAGGTACTTACTTGAGCATTGAGTTGACCGCATTATTAGATTTGGTGAAAAAATTTGACGTGGCCAATTGCATTGTAAACCCACAAATTGGAATTCCCTGAGATCATCGGCACTCATTCAACGATCATAATCAACAAAAAATGCCAGCATCCGTACGAAAGTTGCCAAAACAAATGACACTGACTGTCCGAACGTTCCGCGCAATTTTAACTAACTATAGATAATAAGCTCGTGTAATCAGCGCCTGATAACGGTGACAATAACTCTATATCAGCCCATTAGGGATTGTGTATGGGATTACCTGGTCAAACAAACTGACCGGTCGTCCATAACCTTCGATATCTATTGACGGCCAGGGGCATATACATGATAATGTTTGTCCAGAACCGAAATGATTTATGTATACTTATTTACACATACAGAAACATTTTAGTCTAATCATACAGTTGCCTCACTTGTGTTCCCAAAATTTTACTGTGATAAATTAATATAGCAAAAATTAAGTACAAGTGCCAGGTAGGTAGGTCCAAATAAAAATTAAATTCAAGGAGCTTATGCTTGTCATATTTTTGTTTTCCTTCTAGAAAGTTTCTCGGCATCCTTGCCGTTTAACAATCACCAACGCCAAAAATAAGGCATTACTAAAGTAACTTTTCTATAATTAAGTCATTTTTCCATAAAGATGGCGGCCGTTCATGGGTACCTACCCCTTTAGTGTCATAAAGGGAATTCTCAAAAATTGCGCGTTCGCGAATAAGATGTTTCTCAAAAGGGCAAGAAGGGAAATGGGAGTATAAATAGTTCAGCAAGAATTAAATATATTTTAAATAGATAAGGATTTTTGTCATTCCTACCCTAGAAAGCGTATTTCAGTAAAATTAAATAAATTAGCTCTAATACAAATACAAATCCTTATTAACAGACATAAATTAATGTTAACTTTACTACATCAACTAAAGGTATTCTTAAAATATTTACTTACAAAGGAATATCTTTTAAGTTTTACGTCTATAAGTAGATGCCTTTACTTTTAGCTCAAAAGATTTTAGATAATTTTGATATTAATAACTAAAATATTTGGGATTATAAACTTCAAAAGATTTATCCACAAAGTTCTCAAAGGTGAATACTTAAATGTGCGAAAGAACTTTTAAAGCACTAAAAGTAAGACCAGAGATCCGCTATTAGCCTCTTGTTAAAGTTTTCTGTATCGACGCTGCTCTGATGTAATAAGTAGTACTTGGGTATTTCTCATCGCCACGGTTCTCATCGTCACCTTCGTGGCAAATTTTATTTCTAACTTATTTCAACTTTTTGTAATCAAAAATGGTAGCGCTTGATGTGAAGATTGTATTCTCGGTAAATCAGTCAAATAGTGAGTCTCGTTTGCAAGCTTTAACGTTTTGAATTTTTTGATGCCACGAAAGTGATTCTGTACTTCACAGCAATATTTTTTTCAAACTTTACTACTGTAAATAACTCTTAAGTGTTTATAAAACATATATTTTGTCTTAATATTTTCATAGATAAATAGCAATAACATGATATAAATAGCAATTTTTTTATTTTTAAAGCTTGTACATATTTAAATTTTTACCCTTTTTTATTTAGTTATAGTTTATTTGAGTAGTTATTTGTTAATATTTAGTGGTATATATGTATAGAATATTGTTTAAATAAATCTTACGTCACTTTTCCTTGTCGATATTAAATAGGTACCTACTTAAATAAAAGAAAACTTTACCTTTACAAGATAAAATTTTACCTATAATGTCACCTACTAAGTTACAAGTTTCTACGCAATTGGTTTTAAGGGTGACACTGGTGGCATTCTGAAATGCTAAAGGAGCAAAAAAAGGATAATCAGTACCACAATAAAAAAGAACTCTAACTGAATTATCAGTCCCTCAACAAAAATATTTTTTTTATTGAGGCCAGATGTTGTAGGGCAGATGACCCGGTTTTGGCCATTTTAAGAATTTTTTTGACTTTGAGGCTATGTCATTTTACAGTTTTTGTTATCACGGACTTATTTCTTGTAAAAAGTGATTAAATATATTTTGATCTAGCCTAAGGATACAATTTTTTTCATAATGATTAAATAGAAAAATAATCCTGTAGAAAAGAAAAAGAAATGGGAATTTGTGCCATTTCTGGCCAGCTTTACCCCATTTCTGGCCACAGTCATGTGCCAGTTCTGGCCATCAAAATTCATAAAAAAAAAACATAAACTGCTCGACGGATTTTAACGAAACTTGGTACAATTATTTTTCATACTCTTGGGCAGGTTATAATACTATAACCTGCAGTATACACTTAGGAATTCCCACGGGAACGGGAATTAGCGGGAAAATCCTTTTGTATGAAAAATCTAAACTGCTTAAGTTAGACACTTGAAATTTGGTATGTAGGTACCTTAGTAAACTTAAAGCTAAGTTACAACAAGGAATTCCCGAAATTCCCACGGGAACGGGAATTCGCGGGAAAATCCTTTTGTATGAAAAATCTAAACTGCTTAAGTTAGACGCTTGAAATTTGGTATGTAGGTACCTTAGTAAACTTAAAGTTTAGTTACAAGGAATTCCCAAAATTCCCACGGGAATGGGAATTCGCGGGAAAATCCTTTTGTATGAAAAATCTAAACCGCTTAAGTTAGACGCTTGAAATTTTTCATGCAGGTACCTTAGTAAACTTAAAGCTTAGTAACAGGATATTGTAAAATTCCCACGGGAACGGGAGTTAGCGGGAAAAAACATTTGTACGAAAAAATCTAAACCGCGTAAGGTAGATGAAGGGGGTAAAACGGGATCCACGCGTACGAAGTTGTGGGCGGCTGCTAGTACGAAATATAATATCTCAGCTTGAATTGAAATTACAATTAAGGAGATCAACATTAACCTATAGTATAAGTTTATGCGGTTAGTACTAGAACAATTTTCTTTTCACAACACCGATTTTTTTTGTATTTGGTTTCGATGGAGGCATTATAATCGTAACTCTGAAAATGAATCGATTACTTATATAAAAATAGCTAAGTAATTAAATTGAAAAATCACGATAAAAACTACATGGCCAAAAGTGGGGTTCTTCGTGCACCACTTTTGGCCAGTCATGTGGCCAAAGATGGGAAAATTCATTCATTCTGGCTCCATTAGTGGCCACCTCTCATAAACCCACTTAATAAACAAATAGTGATAAAATATCATTAGTACCACTTAGACAGTGTATTCTTTATTAAGGATTAACATAAACATTTAAAAAAATAAGAAGGATTTAGAAAATAATGATTGTTTATTCACCCGCTCACCTTAGCCTTTTTGCTAAGACTTAAAACAATTAACGCTTCTCAAAAAATAATGACTGTTGGATTGAAGTGAAGCTTGACACATCAAAGCTGTTAACGCTATCAGTGTTGCTAATATTAGATGTTTTTATTGCCGTAAACCATAGAGTAATATATTAGTCTTTGCCTTAGTTATAACGATTTGAAATTCTAAATGGCCACAAAGGGGTCGGTGGCCACAACCGGGTCACTTGCCCTACAACTTTTAACTCAAACTTCAGATTAAATTTATCTTACAAACAGATACACAGTCACATATACAGACATACATACAGTCATACAGACAATTTTGACGTTCATAAGTGCCACTTGTGGTCTAAACTGAATAAATACTTTTGATTTTGATTTTGAGACAGACACACAACAAAAACACGAGGCTCTTATTTTTTATTGATGTACTGAACTCTACTTACCACGTATAATTTATAAGTTATTAAAATATTGTAAAAATATAAACACCAGTCACTATATTTTAAAATAAACCAAAGCAAGAAATAACTTTCGTGGCCTAAAATCACCTTCGTGTATAAAACACCACGAAGGTGATGCCACGAAGGTGACGAAAATTTTAGTTTTTTATGAACTATCCTTAAATTTGAATTTAACGGTTCAAGTCGAATACTGCACAAATAAGTCTAACATGTTAAGTTTTCAATGGCCTAAGTTTCAATTAAATTGTTTAAATTTTAGAGGTAGAAAATATTGTTCAAGCAAGCGACGGTACGTCTATG